GGCCCCCCCCCCCCCCCAAAAAAAGTAATTATAATCAATAACAAAAACAAAATAATAAATTGACAAAACCTCCAACAACATGGACTTCAACATATCTAACCCTCCATTCATCTTCTCGTTAGAGTTACAACCATTCAAAACTTTTTTTATATATATAACAATGGAAAACCATACAATAAAAGAAATAATATTTATGAAAATTCAAATGATTGAAAACAACATTTTCTCGTCTAAAGTTTATCCCAATCGCTTTCGCCAATCTTTTAAGACTTCGTGCTATCGATATAATATAAAAATAGAATGATTATAATTTTATTCAAATCCAGATAATCAATTCTAAATCGAATAAAAAATTAATTAAAAAAACAGAAATATTATTCTTGAAAACCCGATATTTTTATCAATAAAAACCGAAATCAGATCAGATCCAAATCGAAATAGATTTGAATCGATTTCAATAAAAAAACTAAACCAAACCCGAATATAACCAAACGATCCCAAACCACAACCCGAAATGTCCACCTCTACCTTTAATAATATGTTACCTTGATGAACAAGTTACCGAGATTTTGTTGTCTTAAAAATCCATTAAAACTCTTGGAAGACTAACGAGGAGAGATGGGAGATATAGAGCAAGAGCATATGGATGGTAGACGGAAATGCCTCTCCCTACGAATCTCCAACGGAGGAATAGGTTTTACCCGTTGAATCCCCGTCGTCGTGTCTTCGTCGTCTGCCGCCATAAAATCGACGACGGCTACCTCGAAATCCGGCGGCTCCGGCACCGGAACCCTACCTTCGAGCATCTCGACCACATTAGCCATATTCGGCCTACGTTTAGGCCTTTCGTGAATGCACCAAATCGCCACATTCACTAGTTTCCTCACTTGCCCTTCATTCACTTCCCTTCCTTCTCTCAGCCTTTCGTCCACTATCTCCATTACCTTCCCTTCTCTCATCTTCTCCTTTGCTATTCTTGGAAGGTACTCTAACTTCTTCTTCTTCTTCTTCGTTTGTTCATCTTCGATCTCGATCCTCCGAATGCTTCTCCGTCCACCGATCATCTCGAGTAATACGATCCCGAAACTATAAACGTCGGATTTCTCCGAGATTCCTTGCTCCAGAAGCCACTCGGGTGCCAAATACCCTCTCGTGCCACGGATATTCGTTACAACTCGGCTCTCGTCCTTTGCGATCAGTTTCGAGAGCCCGAAATCGGTTACAACCCCGCGGTAATTCTCGTCGAGGAGAATGTTTTCGGGTTTGACATCGAGGTGCAAGATCTTGGACCTACAGTCATGGTGAAGATAGGCAAGAGCCTTTGCTACATCAATAGCGACTTGATACCTTTGGTCCCAAGATATCCATCCAGCCGTTACACCGCACGGGAACCGAGTGTTTCGCCCCGGGAATATCCAGATATCGAGTGACGAATTCGAGATATACTCGTAAACAAGGAACCTTGGGGTAACGGGGCAGGAAGAAGAGGAATACCCTAGAAGCCGGACGAGATTCTTGTGCTGCACAGAAGCTATGGCAGCAACCTCGGATCTGAATTCCTTCTCGCCCTTTTCGGCTTCTCCTTCTATCCGTTTCACTGCTACTTGAGTTCCGTCTGGTAAAACACCTTTGAACACGGATCCCGACCCCCCTTTCCCGATCCTAATCCGAAACCCATCAGTCGCTTCTTCGAGATCTTGGAGCCTGAATCTGGTCGGAACTCCGGCGACTTTTCTCAAGAAACTGTACTCTATTCGAAGCTCCCTTCCTTCGGACACGAATCTTGATTCCAAGAGCTTCTTCTGTTTGTTGTGTCGGTTTCGGATCACGAGAAAACAGATCACCGCGAGGATCAGTGATACGCCGATGCCGGCGATGAGGAAGAAAGGTTTTGAGAGTTTCAGACAGAATCTTGCGGCGACGACGACAACGACAAGGATTGAGATTGCGACAATGGCGATTATGTGAGCTTTCTTGTCCTCCATTGAAGGTTCTCTGTCATCTTTGTCCGATGAACATTGCAGACAATAACGCAGACTTTCTCCTTCTTCTTCTTCTCTCTCTCTCTTTGAGATTTGGTATGTGTGATTTGTTGACTTTGATTTTTTTTTTTATTATATTTTTTTAATGTGAAGGAAATTTCAGGTTGTTTATACTCGACTCTTTGTTTGAAATTGACTAATTAATATGTGAATGAAAAAATATTTAATTACTGTAATTACTACTTGATTTGGAGGAAAAGTATGAGAAAGCCTTCACTAATTATCGCTTAGAAAATATATTTATAATAACGACTTTACTCAAAGGAGCAAAATTAGAGGCTATATCATTTAATAGAATAAACAATTATACTAATATTTTTATTATATATATATATATATTCTAAATATTGGAAATATTTTATCCTATTGAAATTCACATAGATCCATATATATATATATATCAAAATGTTTTTAAATGTTATTTGTTAAGACATTTTATGCTAATTTCGTAATAAAATGGTCAAGGAAAACAACGGCAAGACACAAGTTGGCAAATACAACTCATGCTTTTAATATTTTGTTTGAAAACTTTAATTTAATATTTGGATCATAATTAATGAAGAAGTGGTCCAAATCATACGGTTAATGCATCCAACCATATATCGTACTCGATTGAAATATTCTTCCTTTCCGGCTATTTTGCCTTCGTCCGTTAAAAAACTGCACATTTTCTAGTTATAATAAACTTATATCTCTAATAAAATTTGTTGGTATTTTCATTTTGAACTTTTTTCATATATTTAATTATCGGAATTCGGACCTAAAGAACCGAGACCGAGGGTTTAATCCATGTTCAAACTAAAACATAAATGTTTCTAATTTGATGCCGGAGACAATATAAATTTAATATTATTATTTTTGACACATTTTCACATTTTTGTTTGACTAAGAAAAAAAAAGAGAAAATATCAAATATTGCCTTTCCATGATTCATCTCAGATCGGACACACATGTGCACCTTCATTAATTCGGTGCAAACGATGTAAGCATAAATATAAATACTTAGGTTAAATGAATTAAAATATAATTATATTTAATAAAAATTAAAAATTAATTTGATAGTACAATGGATCATATTTTTTTAGATGTTTACTCACGTATCTCTATAGTAAATTTTATCATTATTTGTTGTGTCCAACGATCAGTTCTATTTATTTTTTAATTGATTATATATAAAAATAACATAGATATTAATACCACAGAGTGAATAATACAAATATATTAAAGAAACTATAATTTGAAATATGAATATTAGCATGTAATTCGGGGAATGTAAAAAAGCCTGCGTTCTGAACTCCGCATGTGATCCAACCGACTAATCTTGCCAACTGGAACTCGGAATCTATTTAACCGGGTCCGGTTTGATTTTCGGTACGAGGCTAGAACCATTTCGGTTTACGTTTCCGGTTTGGTTTATGGTAACAATAAATCTAAAACCCTGAACCGGATCTGGACCGTATTTGAAATTTCTAATCCATCGCAGTTCTTCTCGGGGACGAGCTTGTTCGCGGGGGTTTATCCTCCCATCACCAATCCATTTTTTCTGGCGAGTTGTAGCTTCCAATTTCTGGAATTTCTTCTTTTTTCATTTCGAAGCTTCGATTTCATCTGAAGAACTCAGCAATGGTGTTTAGCAGTGGCGTCTTTGTGACCCGTACGTGTTGCTCAAGAATGAATACACCGAATCCTGTGTTTCGCCGGAGATTCTGTGGAGCCACGGCTTGCTCTGTTTCTATGAATGAAGCCGGTTCGAAGAGGACGAAGAAGAGCGAGAAGGAGAAGGTGATTGTGATTTCTGGGCCTACCGGAGCTGGGAAAAGCAGACTCGCCATGGAGCTTGCGAAGCGGCTTAATGGGGAAATCATCAGTGCAGACTCCGTTCAGGTTCATTTCACTCGATTTCTTTTGCTCTATTTGATGTGAAACCTTTTTGTTAGTGCCCCAGTTTGAATATTGAGCTTTCTTCCCATTTCCAGTTCTTGAAACTCATGACGTATGAACCCTGGTCGAAGCCGATTGATATGAAGAAATTTGTTTGTGGGTAGTGAAGATGAATGGAATTTGAGATAAGAAACACCGTGTTGGTTAATTTATTGGATCACCACGAATGGTCTAGATCAGTTTTAGTGTTGAATTGAAAGTTATGAGATTGTTAAGAAAACCATGGTTGGGAACATTTCTGCTTTCCTTACTCCCTAGAAAGAATATGAAATTCATCCAGTTGCAAAGAGGAAGTGATTTTTACTAAGTAAATTGTGCTAGAAATGGGATATGCATCCTCTCCTCTGATGGGTTTCGCTCGATAAACATACCCATCAATGTGAAGTGTCTTTTGAAGTACTGATGAAGATCCTATCTTGTTGTTGTGGCATATTTTGGGGCTTTGCATCTATTATTGGAGTTATCATCAAGGTCCTGATTTCTTATACCCAATGGCAGGTTTACCAAGGCCTTGATGTTGGATCAGCCAAGCCATCAGCAAGCGATAGAAAGGTATCTGACCGAGATATTCGGTAAGCTGTGTTCATTTGTATTTAACTCTTCGTGTCTGCATTGGGACTAGGCTTGATAGAATATCGTACTTAATATTTTCAGGAAGTGCCACATCATCTTATCGATATTTTGCATCCATCTCAAGGTTTGTTGGCCCTGACTTTGAACTAAGTTGGATTGAAACATGACACTGATGTGATACTTTCATACTTCTAATATTTATTTTTGGGAATCCAGAAATGTCATATTTTCTTGCTTTACCAGACTACTCTGTCGGGCAATTTTTTGAGGATGGAAGGCAAGCTACAAGAGACATTCTTAACAGAGGCCGTGTTCCCATAGTTACTGGTGGTACTGGGTTGTATCTACGGTGGTAGGGCATCTGCCCTTTCTTATGTCATGTAAAAGATCAAATTGTGAGGATAAATTGAATAAAAAACTGAACTTTCCACTGCCATTACGTTCTTGTTAATGATAGGTTTATTTATGGGAAGCCAGATGTGCCAAAAGCATCTCCTGAAGTTATCTCTAAGGTCAATGAAGAACTTTCCGATTTGCAAAGAGCACAAAAATGGGATGCAGCTGTGGAGTTGGTAGTCAAGGCTGGTGACCGTGAGGCTCAATCTTTGGCTCGTAACGACTGGTATAGGCTACGGCGTAGCCTCGAGATAATCAAGGTTTGTTCATTTATTACTTGAACATGTAATCGTATTCGTGATCTCCCTTTCTGCTCATGGATGTCCTTGGCTCAAAGTTTGAAGGATTTTGTTGATTACAAGATCTGACTTGTCAAATACTCCCCCTTATGTATTTGATGGTTCCCCAATGAGTTTGTAGTGTATACTGTCTTTCAACTTATTTTCTCAAGATTGTTGATTAATATTATGTTTGTTATATCCTTTTTGCTGATGAAGAAACATAGAGAAAAGTTCTTTAAATGACCAAAACAAGAAGCATAAACTGCAAAGTTAGAAACAGTAAAATTAGTATGCAGCCCGGCTTCTCTGATTTGAATGTGTTGGTTTGGAATGCTCTTATTTCTCATAGGCTAATGTTTCTCTGATTGTATAACCAATTTTCCTTTCATTTGTGATTATCTAGTACCTTTATTGTATATACGCATAGAAACTAACTTGTACGCTTGTTTTGGTGTCAGTCAAGTGGATCTCCTCCTTCCGCCTTTCAGATTCCGTACAATTCTTTCCGGGAAAATTCTGATTCGCCCAGTGCCAGTGGCCATGATGATATTGGCTCTTCTGCTGAGCTCTCTGTTCAAAATACGCCAGCTGACTTGGATCATGAGTTCCTTTGTTTTTTCTTGTCTAGCCCTCGGGTTGATCTCTATAGGTCGATTGATTTCCGATGTGAGGATATGGTTTCAGGTAACTAATAACATCTACACCTTTGTTTTTTGTACCAACTTCCAAGGGGATGACTTTATCCCCATGGAACCTTATATAAATCTTTTCTCGTCTGATTTTCTTATTTTGAGTAAAACAGATCGGTACATACTTGTGTGTGTTTAGTTTCTCTCTATTTGCTTTATACTTCCTTTCAGTTGATTTTTAATAAATATTGTTTCTTACTTCAGGTAGTGATGGAGTGTTGTTCGAAGCTGGAAGTCTTCTTGATATAGGTCTTCTTCCAAATTCAAATTCTGCAACTCGTGCCATTGGGTACAGACAGGTACACCCCATTATTCTCAGTTTCCGTGTGTCTTCGTGTTCTTGCGTGCTTCATACTCGTGCGCAATGCAAATAATCTTCATGATGGCCTATATGTTGCTTTCTTCTAAGATTAATTTTTAAGTCTCTCTTGCCTCTTTATGCCTTCAGTTTGTTACTTAGTAGTGTTTTCCTACAAACAATCAACTAAGTTTCTGTATATGAAAGGTAGCTGCTTGGTTTGTACAATCTACTTTAGGAATATATCCATCTGACATGGTTCACCTCTTGAGCTAGGCATGGTAATCTTGATCTCAAAAACATATGTGGGAAAGGACCGTACATCCTTAGAAATGTCTGAGTCAAGTGTGTTTTAGATGAATGTTTCTTTATAAATAGGTCAGTCCCCTTAGTCTGGACTTTGCATGTGGAGGAAAAAGTTGCATGAACTCACTGTGAAAGATGGCATAGATGAAATTATTATCATTGACTTATACTAGATCGATTCAGCCAATATGGCCCAATCTCTTATTTAGTTGAGAGAGATGCTCAACTTTTCCAATTTTATTACCTCAATTCTTTTGGTACTGTTACTGATATGGCAAATTTCTTTCAGGCCATGGAATATCTATTAAGATGTCGACAACAACATGGCTCAAGTAACCCAGGAGAGTTTTATAGATTTTTGAATGAATTTCAGAAAGCATCAAGGTGATTTTTCTCCATCTACATTTGAAATATCTCCTTCAAAAAAGCTTCCGTAGAAAATAATTAAAATAGAGAGATTACTTGGTAATTTTGTTGCTAGGGTACCTTTCTTCATTTTTTTTTGTTTGGTGAATTTTCACAGCAAGAAAGGAGCCATCTTTCCGCGTCACTTGTCACCTTAAAACAACTATTTTTTTCCTTTCAATTTGTCTAACAGAAAACTGTGAAGGAATTTAGAAATTCTAATTCAAATTTTCATACTGCCGTGAAAAGTAAATTGATATCCACAGTTCGATCATTCTAGCATTTGTCATGATGTCATGGCATTCACTTACAAGCAAAAGCATGGGATATAAATAGTTTGTTTTGTTCAGACTACTTAGACCAAGTGTGGGAAAGCCTGTAATGGACATGTCTGAATAGGATTTGATGTTTTTTCTCTGTTTAAAAACGTTCTTGGTAAAACCTGAGATCCCAAGGAAATAGAAATTCATGTTCAACTCTTTCTTAATTCGTAACAATAATAATGTTGCTAGCTATCATATGCCAAAATATTTATTTACTATTCGTGACACTGCGTGCAGAAACTTTGCGAAAAGGCAAATGACATGGTTTCGGAATGAGCCCATCTACCATTGGCTCAATGCCTCTAAACCAATGGTATGTCTTAGATGTAGCTTTACTTTCGAGGTATATGAATTAGTGGCTGTTGGTTCACCCAGTCAGCTTTAATGAGTTTCTCGGTCCTCACAGGAGAGAATACTTGACTTCATTTCTGATGCATATGAAGAAGACCAAGCCGAAACACTGGTGGTACCCGATTCTCTAAAAATGAGTAAAGACACGACAGCAGGCCGAGAAGCTTATGAACTTAAGGCATACCGCCCTAAAAACAGGTACGGATATGAAGCAAACCCCTTTTTGTATGCCTTCTCTCGGTTGAGATTTAGTGCAGGTGGTTAATAGGATACAATCTATACTCATTCTATGATCTTAGGCTAAAGTCATATGATATATCATGGCCGCAGTAGGTAATGTTATCTTGTGAATTTGTTTGTGAAGGCGTTTTATAAGAAGGGATGACTGTTCTGAGGTATTAGAGTGGATAATGAAAACCCAAGGAAGCAGGACTGAAGTTCCATGCTTCTGATTCCATACTGCTAAAAACTGAGAGTATAAAAGCACAAAAGAATTGCTGCAATGGAGGTATAAGGTATCCTGAGTTTTTCTTCTGTGTTGGGTGAATATTAACAGGAAACTGAAATCCGTCTGTTGTTTTCGGTCTCGGCCTTGGGTTTAGGCTCTGCATTTCAATTTATGAAACCCTAGTTATCAATTCAATTCCATTTTTATGATTTGAGTATATAATGAGGTTACTGCAATTTTTTTAGACTGAAAACCATAACAATGGAAAAGCATAGAATTATAACATTTTTTATTGTTGTTTGTTTTATTATTGAATTATATCATTTTGTTTAGTTTTTTTTTTTATAATTTAAAAGTTCATAGGATTTTTAATCCAATTAATTAATCTCTCTGTGAGTATGGAAGAGAGCCAAATAAAGTTGTTTCTCTTTACCGGTTGAACTGAGACATTATCAAAAATACCCTTATTTTGCTCTTTTAACTTCAACACATAAACTTCTCCAAGTCTGACTCTGTTATTCATGTGATTCAAAATATAGTGTAGTCACATATTGATTTCATTGCTCATAACGTTAAATTTATAATGTTTTAATCAAATGATTAATAAAATATACAAAGGATGAGTTTAATAAATTAGTGTGATCACCAGAAATTTAAAGATATGATCAATAAGATCAAAATGTTATCACACTATATTTTGGATTATATGGATCACATGATAACAGATGGAGAAAAGTATATGTTGAAGTCAAAATAGTAGAGTAAAATTATTTTTGATATAATGCCGGTTGAACCACGTGAACGTGGGTGCATTTTGTTTTAGTTATTGATAGTACTATGGAAGAGAAAGTCTTAATGTAGGTGGATCCATGTATGTGTTCTCTTCATGGGTTTGTACCAACACATTTGTTGAATGATAATATAATTTGGCGCAGCTAAAAATAAATAAATTGGAGTTGTATTAGCGACATTGCATTTTGGGGAGGATAAGGTGTTGGCAATAGGGGTGTCAAAACGAGTCCGACTCGCGAACTGGCTCGTGGCTCACCAGAAAACGAGCGATCTGAGTCGTAATTTTTTCAGCTCGTTAAAAAACGAGTCTAACGAGCCAGAGCTCATTGAACACGTGTTCAATAAGCCTGGTTCGGTGAGCTGGCGAGCTACTCAACGAGCTGGTATTTTTTTTAAATAAATTAAATTTATATAAAAAAACTCTAATATAATTTTATATTAATTTTTTTCATATCATTTATATGATATTATAAATATACTAATTATTATAATGGTGATAATTGAAAATATTAAATGATATTGGTGTTTTATTAAATTTTTATGTATTTATTTAAATTTATAATTATATTTAAAATAAATATAAATAAAAAATATTATATATAATTTGTTCAATGAGCCGGCTCATTCAGATCGGAAAACTGACGAGCAATCTGAACCAAAGTTTTTCTAGACTCGTTAGAAAACGATCCGAACTAAATGAACTGAACCCAAAACGATCCGAACTGGTTCGTTTGATACCCCTAGTTGGCAACCGCTCATTTTGACTCGGACACTAATCACTAGGCCAAACTTATGTCCCTGTTGTGTTGGTCATTACTTGGACTGGCATATCGGTTATGATTAAATTCGATTCGGTCCATTTAATAAATTATAATTACTTTTGCTTTTCTATCAAAATATTCATCTTTTTTTTTTACTAGAGTTTCTTCGGAAAATCGAACGACACACAAACCCTACAGTAAAAATTCTAAGAATCTTAAATTTACGCCTTAACAGAACTAAGACTGAATCCCAAACATATTTTCTTCGAATTAATTTGATTTTGGTATTTTAAGATCTGATTAATCTGAATCCGAGCAAGAAAGAACTAAAATCGAAATCGACCGAAAAACCGGAAAAAAAATTGACCAAACCCCATCAAACAAGGCATTATATGAACCAGATGATGTTAGCAGCAAAAACCAAACACCCAGAGTCACATCTTCTCAAGATAAAGCTCCCAACTACGTTTTTTTCTTCTTATAGAACCGGAGGTGTATATAAAACTCTTCCTCTACAGCCAAAACCCGGAAAATAGAAGGAAGCAAAATACGTTGATGATTATAGGTAACATCCAGTCCCCAAAAGCATATATCCCAACAGCAACGGTAACATTCTCCCAAGGTAACACAGAGATCACACCAACCTCTCTTACTCAAATGTGTCGTCGTCGTCATCCGGAAGTGGCTGACTCGCTGCTGCCGCAAGCTCAGCCTCGTGCCTGCAAATAATCATTTCATAATCGGTCATATAGAGTTGAGGAAAAATGAAGCAAGACATCGACACGGATAGGGGTGGCCAATTCGATTAATAGACCGAATAACCCATATATCCATACCTGAATCAAATTGATATAAAAACCGAATGCGTATGGTTTCTCTAAAATTGAAAATACTGAGCCCAAACATATACAAAAATAACCGAAAAAACCGAAAACTTCTTTGAAGGATTGAGTGTTTTTATCAATAAAAACTGAATCTGAATCAAACCCAAACATAAACCAAACCAAATTCAATATAAAAACATAATGGTTATAACTTTTGTAAAACTGAAATAATCAGCCCGAAAATAACCAGAACCAAAACCTGAAATAGCAACCCCTAGATATGGGACGTGCAGGTTATATGATTCAATTTACTGGTAAGATTAGGAGGTGAAAACTTACTGCTGTTGAGCAGCCAAGTCGATTGTAACTTCAGGGGGAGCGAGAGCTGGTGATTCCACAAAGTGAAGGTTCGGGTCCCTGAAATGGTGGATTGAGTAAAAAAAAAATCCTCAATGATTTACATTCGGAATCATGAGCTACAGACATGCAAAAGGAATTGATTGGGCATACCCGGCGAGTTTCCTGGCGAGATACAAGAATGGCTTCTCAAAGTTGTAGTTGCTCTTAGCAGAAATCTCATAGTACTGGAGATTCTTCTTCCTGTGGAAAGTGACTTGCTTGGCCTTCACTTGCCTGTTCTTCACATCGACTTTGTTTCCACAAAGAACGATCGGGATGTTTTCACAGACCCTACAAGAACAAGAGGCGGAAATGAGTTGACCATGCAGCAGCAATGAATGAACCAAAAAAATTATGTCTGAGAAGAATTAGTACCTGCAGAGATCACGGTGCCATGTAGGAACGTTCTTGTATGTCAGACGAGCTGTAACATCAAACATAATGATGGCACACTGTCCGTGGATGCTGCAAGAAAAAAAAAACAATGGTTTATCTCACACCAACCAAACATAATAAGACAAATAAGAAGACATCATATAAAAAAAAATGAGAAGAACAGTTCCATTCCATGTTGTCAATAACAAAGATATGAAAGAGAAACACTTGTAAATTCTCATAAGCAGTCACTATGTACATCACCATATCTTGGCAATTATACTCCCACCACCATAAGACACATTATAAAATAAGTAAAGGAATGCATATTCGTGATTTCTTTCCAGATTTCTCTCAACAGAGGGGAAATGCGATTGTAAAATTTATAAGTTTATGATGTTCCAAACTAATCTGATATTACACGCTCTTGGAAGACCCATATGCAATAATGTAAACAACATACTATCAAGATCTTTAGGAGAAAAAAATATTTAGGCAATGCACTTACTAGTATCCGTCCCTTAGACCACCGAATTTCTCTTGCCCAGCAGTATCCCAGCAGTAAAACCGGATCTTGCCACAGTTTGTGAAGAAATCTAGAGGATGAACCTCCACACCAATAGTAGCTGCAAAATACAACATTAGCCTCAGCAAAAGAAAATTAAGGACACTCAGCATCTGAAAGAGAAATCTTTCGTTCCAAATACTTACGTTCATACTTCTTCTCAAACTCTCCAGTAAGATGTCTCTTCACAAATGTAGTTTTCCCTGCACAATCACCGACGACGATAGTAAGGACGCATTGGCTTAACTAGCTGTCCAAATCGAGTTAATACAACCCAATCACACAAAAATCCAACAATACGTATGGGTGATGCCTTGCCTACATATTGACAAATGATTGGGAATCATCTCAGGACGCGCCGTTCTCCAATAAAATCCACCATTTCTGAGCATGGATATGTTCGAAAATCTATACCGAAATCTCGATACGACATTATCTAACGACAGTCACTGGATTCAACAAAACCACACCATTCTCTACAATCGAACCACCCATCCCATACAAGTAGAGAATCAAACGTAAGAAAAACAGCTTTTTGAAACACGCGTAGGAAACTCTGAATAGATTATGACAACTCAATCAAACAAAAACAGAGAGAGAGAGAGAGAGAGTACCAGTGCCTCCATCGCCGACGATGACAAGCTTGAAGCTAGGGTAATCGACGGTTTGCTGGTTCGGTAGAGCCTAAACACACAAAAATAAAGACAAAATTAACAGCAAAAACCGAAAAATCAACACAATTACGAGATCTGAAATCGCAGAAAACCTAGAAATCAAACCAAATACGCACCGAGAAACAAAACAAAACAACATCACAAGACAAGCATCGTTCAACGCACGCAGAGAGATTTCACTCACCATTTACAGCCGCAGAGAAAAATCAAGCTGCGAGGCGAGCGACAGAGAGAAATGCGCTGATGCAAACGGCGAGGGGAGAGGAGGAGAGAAGGGTTTAAGAGAGTGTGTTTGGCTTAGGGTTGACGCAACGCTGATGACCGTTGGATCTAGTGACTTTTTAATCTTTTGGCTTTGCAATTCTCACGCAGCTGTCTCCACCGTTGGATCTGATTTAGCTTTACGTCCGTCCACGCGTACCAATTTTGCGGTGTCCCTGCTTCCAGGCTTTTTTTTTTTTTTTTCTTTTTTAACTAATTAATTAAATACGTTTAATTATAAAAATGCTCGAATATTTTCATTGAAGTTTGTCATTTTTTGCTGACCAAAATGCTTAAAATAAAACTCCAAAATAGTACACAATTACCAAGTCGGTTCAGTTAAGGGATCAGATAAGAAATAAATACGAATTTAGTGATTTAAAAATTGAATATATATATATATATATATATATATATATTTTAAAAAAATTTGTATTTTGATCTGAGTATATATATATATATATATATTTTAAAAAAATTTGAATTTGAATGAAATTTTAGTAAAAGTTGGAAAATAAATATTATTTCAAAAATAAATACAAGTCGAATTTAAACAAAACCCAAACAAATAAATCGAAATTGATATAATTTTTCAAGACACAAAATCTGAGAATTAAAATTAAAATCAGAAGTTTTATTTCAGACTTTAAATTCTGTGCAATTTATATTTCAGACTTTAATATTTTGAATTTTATTTTAATACTTAAATTTTCTGCATTTTATTTTGTATTTTAATACCCATATATTTTACAAAATGCCAAAAATGACATTGTTTAGCCTCGACAAAAATAGAATGAAAAAGGATTTATGCGTCACTTTTGTTGGATATTTAAAAAAAAAAATCAATTGAGATATTTTGTTAGATTGTATCCTCAGTAGATCAAATTCTAAGTTAATAATATAAAATATCAAAAGCACAATTAACTTTAGAAAAACATCTCTTTAAAAATTCATAAATTCAAATAAATATCTGTCTTTATGTTAAAAAGTTCTATAACTAATTTTTAATTTATATATTTTCAATTCAATTTAAAATATATTTACGACATTAATTTATAATTGTAATTTTCCTAACTAGAACCAAATTAGTTGAATTAATAAATGTAATAATCTTTTTATGTTGCAGCAAAAGATAAATTTTCGGACTAACTGACAACCAAAATTTTAGCGTTTCAATCTAATTACTGTGATAAGTTTGTTTTGCCAACAAGCACAACTAAGAAATTAAGCTTTGATCAAGTTTTCACATTTTTAAAGACATCTTCTCTATTAATAAACTGTACAGGACTAGAAAACTCGCATCATTTCTCTATGTCCGTATTGTGATGCCATAATACCATAACCATGCAAAAGCATGTATCATATCATCACATGCCATAGATGCTTTCAATTTCAAAGCATAAAAAGGGTTTGAAAGTTCCCATTTTTTTGGCATAGGCAAATTCCCACTCTCTTCCTGCCAAACCCTATTGGAGCCATAGGCAAAAGCCACAAGCTGCGAAACCCTAAATCGAGACGGAGGGGTTGCCAAAGCATAACGACAGAGCAATATAGCACGCTGCTTGAGAAACGCAAGAGATTTACTACTTCCAGAGCTTGCGAAGAGACATGTTCTTCTCCGTGTCTTTCTTCATCACCTTTGCAACGGCCATCTCAAAGTCTTCTTGTGTTACGTGTACCCTACGCTCCCTCAACGCAAACATTCCCGCTTCCGTACACACGGCCTGACGAATATGGAGAGAACCCCGAGATTATTCACGAGCCGTTTTCAGAGGCGATACAAAGAAGTAGTCACTTTAGAAAGGAGTAAAAACAGGTGTATACCTTCAGCTCGGCACCTGAAGCGCCATTCATCTTCTCCGCAATCTTCTTTAGATCGATTCCACGCATCAAATTCATCTTCCTTGAGTGTATCTTCAAGATATCAAAACGAGACTGCAAACACAATGTGTACACAAAGCTCTGCATGAATATCCTATTTCCCATTCTAGTAGCCAAAGTACACACACCTTTTGCCATTTAAAACGTATAGGCTACACATCGAAAGACCCATAAACACCCCGATGTGGAATGTAATAAAAAGAAAAAGAAAAAAAACTCCAATTGCCCAGTTCCTTGAAAAGATTTTAGATTAAGGGTTCTAAAGCAGCCTAACTTCTTGGCAACAGATCAAAAAGCCTCCTGAGCTGAATGAGGAAGCACAAAAAAATGGAGAGGAATATTATGCAAAAAAATGATAACTAAATAAAATGCATGTTAATCATTTTCAGGTAATTTATTCCAAATAAGGGTGCATTCTTTTCACCAAAATTTTCTTCCTTTCATCCGAAAACAACTGAGCATACCTATTGCATCACAGGATCAACAATTTTTTAACACTTTCTACCTAGAACAAGTAAATAAGAAACAAGGACAACTAGCATTACCTCTTCATTAGGATTGGGGAATTCAATCTTCCTGTCAATCCTACCAGGCCTCAGAAGAGCTTGATCCAGAATATCAATCCGATTTGTGGCCATCAAAACCTGCAACAGTGATTTATGAGAATCAATGACTATATCTGGCATTAAATCTGAAATATCACTAGTGCCTTTAAGTTCCAGGTACATTGATTCTCCAAATCCCAATGTAATAATGAGTACCTTGATTTTGTTCGATGCTTCAAATCCATCAAGTTGATTCAGAAGCTCAAGCATAGTCCGCTGTACCTCACTGTCACCATTTCCACTACCAGACTCCATACGAGCAGATCCAATACTATCGATTTCATCCATGAAGATAATTGATGGAGCATGCTCCCTGAAAATTGAGAAAACAACTTGCACTGAATAAATTGAGTTTTTTTAATCAACACAAGAAGTGCCTTGCAAGTAGAAATTATAGTTTTCAGTTTCCAAAATTGATCTGCTTAAGCCACGCGTGGACATGCATAGATATTAGAGATTCCACACCCTCTTAACTATTCATATCTTTCCATTCTTGAGTAGTTAAAATAACTTGCAGCATCTATACATCATCAATAGCAACATCAACATCAACATCGCCTTTATCCCAAGTTTATTTGGGGTCAGCCGCATGAATTCTTCGTTTCCACTCGTTTTGGTTTTGAGTTAGCTCTCTCGGAATTTGCAACAATTCCAAGTCATTTCTAATGACACGTTCCCAAGTAATCCTAGGTCTACTCCTTCCTTTACAACATCTATAATCTGAAAAAAATTAAAACTAAGGATCATAAGTAGACGAAACTCTTTACAAACCTTGCCATAACAAAAAGTTCTCTGACCATCCTCGAGCCTTCTCCAATGTATTTCTGAACCAACTCTGAACCAGAAACTCTGATAAAAGTACAATCAGTGTGATGTGCTACAGCCCTAGCCAACAATGTCTTCCCAGTTCCAGGTGGCCCATATAGCAATACACCCTAGAGACAAAGATAAAGATAGGGATCAATCTATAACGTAATCAAAGGCTGTTGAATATGGAGCGCAAAAGATGCAGAAAGCATAGATACCTTTGGCTGAGCAATACCAAGAGACTCGAACAATTCAGGGTGCTTGATTGGCAACTCGATGACCTGAGAAATTGTAACAAGGTGTATAACAGTTATAAGCATCAATAAGCCAACATCATAAATCAGTAAATTTTTCAAACTTTAACGCAATTTGTACCTCCTTTATCTCCTTGATTTGCTGGTCAAGACCACCAATCATGTCATATGTGGAATCTGGAACCTTCTCAACTTTCATAAGGTTAACCAATGGATCCACTTTGCTTGGCAGGACTAGGTGGAGAACATAGCTGTCATTACGTAGAGCAACTCTAGTAGACGGTGTGATTTTCGTGATGTCTATACTTTTGTCAACATCAACGACATACTTCCCCTCCGGATGAACCTGTTAAAAGGGAATTTAATGCCTTTATGGAAAGGTTTCACGACAGAAACTTTATTACCATGCCTACAAAAAAATATTCAAAACGGAAGTCTACACATACACTATGCTGATAAGTCAAATCAACTTCTGTCTCAACTCTCAAGCAAATTAGCCTCAGGACTAGAGTATTCAGAAGAAAATCCACACAAAAGATCTGACAAATTAAACACAAAGATTCATACCTTAACCAAGACCTTGTTTTTCCCCATTACTTTAACCACTTCACCCACATAGGATCCAGGTTCCTGAAGCAGCTGCAACTCTTCTCTCAGCATTCTCACTGTTCAGTTTAATAGCAAAAATTGACAAAGAGTTAGAATTTTGTATTTAGCTTCAACATATACACACAAATCGTAAAGAATGTGATCAAAGTGATGACACCAACACTCAGATTATATCAAATTCATCGATTAGCAGAAGCAAATCCCAATATTAAGTCCTCCTTTGTACGCCCACTACACTAACTCAATGAAGAACAAAACCCGGAAAGAACATGCACAAATCACTGCTGCCACAATACTCACAGCCAGTTTCACTGAATTTGACATGGTAACATCCACAAGAGCGCAAAAACATAAACCCCCAGCTCCAAGGTACATTCAAGCAAATTCACTAATCCACAATATTATGCTTACTGTTCCTAACACCCCACCAAACCCGTTCCCCTGACTAGAAAACTCCATACTCACTGCATAAACCACAAAAATTACTCCGCAGTATACTGATTCAAGGAAGGCTCAAACATAAATCTGAATTTACGCAGCACTCATACAAAAAAGATAGGATGGATTTCAAGGGCCTGAAGAAAATAGATTCCGGAAACCAGATCCAGCACAAATGATGAAGAGACGGAATCTATTCGATTGTCGCATAAAAAAAACCTTTCCTAGATCCAAATCCATTAGAAATTCCTGCGTTTATCAACAGAAACGAAATCGAAAAAACCCCAATTCGAACTCCGCGATTACAAAACCCTTAAACCGAAACCAAACATCCAAATCGAAGACAATCGTCCGAAATTGCACCCGGATACGAATAAATAGGGTTAGGGAACAGAGAGAGAAAAAGCACCTCGAGAATTGAGCTCGTTGCGCTGAGCTTCGAGACGATTGAGGTTGTGGGTCTTCTGACGAAGGAGACGCTGAAGCTCGAGGATGTTCTGGAGATAGTAATGCTTCAGGCCTTCGCCTTGCTTCGCCGCCACAGCCTTGGCGTTGCAGGTCTCCTCCGAAGCTTCGGGACGTCTCGCGTCGACGCCTACAGTCGCCATTTCCGTACGAGCTCAATCGGCCGCTTCGTGTTTTCGGAGATTGATCGAGAGAGGGGGAGAGAGAGAGATTCAAGTTTTCTTTGAGATCAAGTTAGAGACCGAAACTCAAGCAAATGATAAATATACATAATACAATTACTTTTGGCCCCATAATTATAATTTATATTTATGATATTTTTCGTTCACTAATTTTATATTAGTTTTTTTATTTATAGTTTATTCTTATTGATTTTGCCTTTGTTGAAATACAACAAAAAATTCATTGATTTTTTTTTCATTTTTTTTATTCTTTTAAATTTCAACGAAAGTATTCACAATCTAAACTTCTACAGTTCTACACCAGTTTTTGTGTATATTGGAGGGTAAAAAAAATCTTTGCAACATATTTTTTTTGGATTTGTAATCGTAGATTATTTAAAAATAAACTAATTATTTAAAAAAATTATTTAAAAAATATGTATAATTTTTTACTTATTATCTAAAATAATCTAATTTATAAAAACAAAAGATAATAATAAATAATCTCTAGATTCTCTTATTCCTCATCTTATATTTTTCTGGTAGACTAGATAATGACTCACGCGCATCACGCAGATTTTTTTCCATCTTATTTTAGTTTATCTGATCCGTCACGATCTGTTACAAACTATTCGATTATACGATGAAGGAATTGGTTTAGTTTTTCATTTGTGACAGATCTTTTATAGTCTGGTTTTCCATCTAGTCACAATACGCATGCATCATGTGGACGACTAAATATATATATGTACTTTAAAATAATTTTATTATTATTTTAAAAGTTTAATATAATATATTTATTTTTTATTATAATTGATATCGTTAAATCAAAATGATAGATTTTTTAAATGTCGAGATAACGGGATAATTTTACGGATGGGATCGTGAAGAATTTATATGTTTATATTTTTGTGGGTTATTCTGTAGAATCATTCGTCGGAATATAAAACATTCGAGTAAGATTTTGAATAATTTTTTGATTCGATAAAATATATTCCATTGGATCAACTTGACATTTAAAATCGATGTCTTATGTTTTTACAAACTAAGATTTGGTCATGTTTATACTAAAAAAAACTTAAAACTAAGATTATATTATATTCGTGTGCTATGTATATTTTATCATACTAACTAATATTAGTTACACAGTAGTATGAAATCAATCTACTTCGAATTTAAATCTAAATATATATGGATTAGAGACTCATTTAATTAGTTTTTTCAATTAGTTTGACCAGTAGTTTGTTAAATTTACTTTTAATTATTTTTATCATCTCAAATAGGTTTATATGATCATTCACGGTCCGTCTTAAACTCTTTGATTATTAGTTGACTTAGTTTATCATACATGATATATCTATCATCGTCTCATAAACCATCAATAATATGAGTTATAACCTCAAATAAAGCACACTTACATCATCCAAACTATTATTGGATACGACATGACTAACTTTTTACTTAAAATATACACTTCAAGATCCGATATGATAAATTTCTAAAAAAAATCTTCAAAACAAAAAGCTAGTGGTATCCTCCTACCCGACCAAACATACATTTCACATTAACTTCATCAAAACCTTAACAGTTTCTACGATTTTCATTGGACTCATTTCAAATTTATAAGTTAATTCAAATACCATTACAAAAATTTATTAGATGCTAAAATTAAATATTTTGGAATTTATTTTCTACATTCACTCGTACCACTAATTTCTTACATTAAATATTTTGAAATGTTTATAGTTTCATTTTCTTCATCAAATAATAATTTATTTTTTTCGGTCCATCTCATCTTTTTTTTATTCTTTTATTTTGATCATCTCTATCTCCTAAAAGGTTAGATGAAACTTTTCTCCTGCATCTACAATCGATGGATGACCCAAAAAAAATCCTCCGTTTTACAGCGAGACGATGGAGGAAATAACTTCAAAGATTTTTTGGAGGATTTTAGCTTCTGCAAAAGATTTTTTTTTTGGAAGATGATTTGTAGAAATATTTGTAGAGGATTTGCAAGTGAGTAGAAACTAAGTTTCCATTCCAATTATTTCAGCTCTTTTTCTTTGTTTTCAAGTTTTGCTAAATCATGAGTTTCTATTTAAATCTTTATATCTGGGTTATTTGTTGAAATTTTCTCATGTATTCATGAAATCTCTATTCTTGGTTTTGAATGATTTTTCTCATGTGGATTTCAGTATTTGACATTAATTTTCAATGGATTTTTCATAGTACAATAAAATTTGGTATGTAAGGGACCCACATCTATATATATCAACGGCTTTTCTTGGCAAAATATTTTACAAATTCCTATCCATCTGGATCCATATTTGATTCGTTTTTTGAAAATCCCTTAAAAGGAAATTGATATTTTTTTAAAATTTTAAATTTTCTAAAACACCTTCTTCGGACTCCTAGAATCGACAAAACCCTCGGGTTGTGACATGTACACATCCTCGAGCAGATTCCCATTAAGAATTGCGGTCTTGACGTCCACCTCTCATATCTCATAGTCATAATACGCAGCTATGACCAGCAGAATCCGTATGGATTTAAACATCACGACGGGTGAAAAGGTTTCATCATAGTCTATACCATGAATCTGTCGAAACCCTTTCGCGATGAGTAGTGCCTTATAGGTATGCATGATGTCATCCATGTCGGTTTTCTTCTTGAAAACCCACTTACATCTAATGGTCTTAATACCATCGAATGAGTCGACTAAGTCCACACTTTGTTGTCGTACATGGATTGCATCTCAGACTCCATGATCTAGTGCCATTTATCGGAATCGGAACTCACCACAACCTCTGAATTCGACGTAGACTCATCATGTTCTAACAATGAGTTCGTCGTTTCCAGTCACAAGAAAACCGTATCTTGTATATATATGTAATATCGGAATAATATTTTTAAAATTTTATACGATGAAAGAGTTATATTTTTGACAAATTTAGAATATTTTGACAAATATGATTAATGAAAACAAGCAACTATTGTTCTAGAAAAGGTTCTAACCAACAAGAGTTTATAGGAACTTAAGGAAGGCTCTAACTGTTGGTTACGCAAAACAGGATGTCGAGAGAATGTTTCACCATAATGGCTACCGGACTCTTAACTTTAAGCCATAACTAGTCCTAGTATACATCAATATCGCCTTAATCTTCTCAAGTTTGTTTGGGGGGTCGGTCTTATGAATTCTTCGTTTCCACTCATTTCGATTTTGAATTAAAATCTTCCAAGATTTGCAACAATTTCAAGTCGTTGCTATCAACTTTTTAAATTATTGTCTTGGATATGATCCTTTTGAAGTCACATATCTTCTGCAACAACATTATTACGTGATCTCTTGCTATTCTGATTAGGCCATTAACTCATAGATTTATATGTTGGCAATAGATTTTGCTACCGTAACCGCTAAAACATGAAAGGAATGGAAACTCTTTAGTTGAATTAGGTCACTAACATTAAAGTTGAGCTCTACTCACATAACCTTTTACGTCTGGATTTTGTTTCATTGTTTTGAGCTATTTGGGGTATTATTGGTACATTGGGTAAAACAGTTTATCTTGTTAGGCAAATTTCTAATTTATTTCATCCAAATCGTCATTGATGTTTCGATTTTTGTTTGATATTAGGTGCATCCATCGTCTGTGATAAGTACAGATGAAGAGGGAATGTTTCCAGATTACGTCGTATATCACGAGCTCATCTCTACAACAAAAGTCTTCATGCGAAATATTTGCAGAATAGAAATGTCATGGGTGGATCCAATTAAGAGGAAGCTCGAGAAATTAAATATCAGAAAACTGAGGTATAAAATAAATTTAACGTTTTCTTTCTTGGAGGCATCCATTACTTGTACTGCGACTTGGCTTTGGGAATGTTGATTTGTATCCTTTCTACACTATAATGCAGTGGTGGATCAGTTTGCTCGGCTGATAAATCTGAGGATAAGATTGTTGAACGAAGAGATCAAACACAAGTTGAGGATCACTTAGATGAAGTATATAATCAGACATATGAAGAACACATCCAAAACGTAATCTATAATCAGCCCATGAGGAAGAACAAGCCCAAGACGTCATTACAGTCCAAATACACAATAATGGGTTTGAAAATAAATGGTGTAGCCTATGGGCTAAGCTTGGTGTGGATAATAACTTGTGAAGAGAAAAGAAGATATATGAGACGTGTGAAAGGAGGAAAAGAGCCGTTAAAAGATCTCCACATATCAAGAAAATCCAAGGAACAAGATATGATCACATTATAATGCAACTTACCTTGTTTATCTCCAATAATCTTTTGTTGCCTTTGGAATACAATAATAATATAGGAGATTCAATCTCCATTTGTTACACAATTATCCTATTCTCACAATTCTAAAACTCATGGTGTCTTAAATCATTCATTCTCTTTTACTCTCTTTGTTATTCTCAATCTTTCTAATTCAAATCTCACCCAAATCCTAAAGTCATTCAAAGTTGATAGAATTGCCCCGGAACGACACGAAAATAGCTGTCATCCTTTAGAATGTCGACAGTAAGATCCAAGCAGCTAAGAAACGATTCCCTGCTCGTAAAGGAAAGAAGTAGTTGAGAGCTGACGGGTTCAATCCATAGACATGACAACATTCCAAGAACTTGTCTTTCAAAAAAGTATGCCTTACCATTTTCGTCTAGCAAACAATTTGGTGTTTATTATATTTTATTTTAATTTATTGACATGAATGTAGCAAAAAGTAAGATAGACAAGTTGTTTGAGTTGAACTAAATATAAATAGAAAACTTTAATAATATAAAAACATCATCATATTTTTTACAAACAGAATTAAATCAATGATAGAATATTGGCATCGCTGTATAGATATGCTATTGATGCAATATAATTGATTTGTTATGCTTGTTTTCAGTACTGGTATGACTTTTTTTTAATGTCTGTCAAAAATTCAGGTGTAAGGCAATAATAAAAATTATTTTGGTAAATATTATTATAGATTTTTTTTCAAGAATGATAAAACTTATTTACCTCATACGGAAATTTTTGATAATGTTGAGTTTTTCATTTATGTAAATCTTTGTAGATGTTGATGTGTTGAGCGATAAAACACCTAATACATAAAATGTATTAGTAAATATAATATAACAATGATAATAGTTTTTAAATATTAATCTATCAAATATTTAAAAATTAATTTGTGTTAAATAATTACAATCGATAATCTTTGGATTTATTCCCATAATGACTATAATACTTTTTCTGATATTTAATCTTTGTATTTGTGAACGAAATTCTGGAGCGAGATCATCCCATATGAAAAGCTTGACAACATTCTCCTGCAAACGATGTAAGTCGAAAAAATTAATTTAAAAAATAATTTGAATGTTTTATTTTCTATCGTTTAAATTTTTTATAGTTTGATCATAATTATATATATAATATATTGCAATGTCATAATATAAAAGTACAAAGTAACCCCTTTCAAATGATAGCTCAGCGAGAGGTCATGGTAAGAGTGCAAATTATCCCCGTTTTAAATCTGACTAAAAGGATTGGTTGTTAAAAATATTTCAAATGTTATTGTAATCAAAGAAATATCTTATCGGCAATATAAGAGTCATATTTTATTTTGCACTCAAGTCATCCATTTATAAAAACATCTAACAAACCTTTTCATTTTTATTAAATTATTATATCATAAATATATTATATTAAAAAAAGTTAATAATATTATAAAATTATATATAGCTATCCATATACATACACGGATTTTAATTCTAATTTGGAAAAAAATTGATAAATTAATAAAAAATTATAGTTAGGATATTTTTATATAAAAAAATCTATTTTATTTGGATTTTTAATGATTGATGTTTACTATATTTTAAAACATTAAAGATTTATTTAGTTTTTAGATAATCATTTTTTTATTTTTTTAGGTAAAAACAATAATTAATATATAATTACTTGAATAAAAGTTTCGATTTCCACAATTTTGCAATTTGGAACTATGGCATAGCTAGTAGTGTGGTAATTGTTCACCGTTTTCTGCGGCTATAATCGTTTCTTCTTACATGACATCAAACGTGTCGGTGATATCTCTTTATAGGTATATATAAATCTACAGTGTCAGACAGAGATCCCAGCAAGATTCATCGATGAAGTCATCATAACCATCTTCCTCGTATCCTCTTTGACTCGATCTTAGATCCACTCTCTTCCTCCTCCGATCCCGATCCACAAAAACCCTAGAACCCAACAACAATGTCTTCGTCTTCCTCCCGATTCGATCCCTCCAAACAATACTACGCCACCAGCAGCCTCGTCGTGGGCTACGCTCTCTGCTCGAGCCTCCTCGCCGTCATCAACAAGTTCGCCATCACCTGGTTCAACTTTCCCGGCCTCCTCAATGCCCTTCAGTACCTCACTTCCGCTCTCGGCGTCTGGGTCCTCGGCAAATTAGGGTTTCTCCACCACGACGCCTTCAATGTCGATACTGCCAAGAAATTCCTCCCCGCAGCCGCTGTATTCTACCTCGCCATCTTCACCAACACAAACCTTCTCCGTCACGCCAATGTCGATACTTTCATCGTCTTCCGGTCTCTCACTCCACTCCTCGTCGCCATCGCCGACATGTTCTTCCGCCGGCAGCCTTGCCCTTCTCGGCTCACGTTCCTATATCGCTGTTGATCATCCTCGGTGGTGCTGTTGGGTACGTTGCCACTGATTCTGCCTTTTCTTTGACGGCCTATTCATGGGCTTTCGCTTACTTGGTGACTATCACCACCGAGATGGTTTACATCAAGCATATGGTGACGAATCTAGGATTGAACACTTGGGGATTTGTGTTTTACAATAATCTATTGTCTCTGATGATGGCTCCAGTGTTCTGGATTCTTACCGGAGAGTATGCCGAGGTTTACATGGCGTTGAACGAGAACTGGGGGCATTGGTTTGAGCCAGTGGCGTTTTACACAGTGGCATTGTCTTGTGTGTTTGGTTTGCTCATTAGCTTCTTCGGGTTTGCGGCTAGGAAAGCTATCTCTGCCACTGCGTTTACTGTGACTGGTGTGGTGAACAAGTTTCTGACCGTTATGATCAATGTCTTGATTTGGGACAAACACGCAAGCCCGTTTGGCTTGGTCTGTCTTCTGCTCACTATCTGCGGAGGGGTTCTTTATCAGCAATCCGTGACTATTAAACCGAGCAATACTTCGTCTCAACGTGATTATGTTGAGTCCAAGCTTTTGGACATCGAGAATGGTGATGATGAGTTCTCCGAGGATAATCCGGGTAAAATTGTATCGAATAAGCTAGCTTCTGTATGAGAAACCCGCATTTCCCACACCCACCCCTTCCCAGGTTATTTCTAGCTTTTGGATTTGAATTGAATTTCAAGTCTAGGCCTTTAAGATCTTTATCGATAAAGAAGATAAATATGAAGTCTTTACACTGCTTTGATCATGGCCCCTCTCAAATATCAGTTTTGTAAACTTTGTTTGTTACCTGTTATCCTTGAATCCATAAATACAAGATTCTTTCTTACTCCTCTCGGTTTTGTTGCTCGGAAATGGCAGTGCCTGGTTTTTCCTTGTGTGTTTCTAGTTTAACCAAGAGTCTGACACTGGGGAATAAGCTGAGTCTCTATGTGCTATTTGTATGAAGAAACAGTAGCTGTTCATAATATGTCAGAATCAATAGTTGCTGTTTGTATTCCTTACCGATCTGTCATTTAACAGAAAACCGACGAGGGAACTTAACTTAGGTAGAGGAATATGTACCATTCGGAATTTCGGATTCTGTTGATTATGTATGTTTTGCTGACTTGGCAAATATAGGTAGTAAGTGAGACACTATTGTTCTGAAACATGAATCCTGTCTACATTTTATTCACCATTGTTGAACTTAACAGTTCGTTGTCTCTGAGCTCTCAGAACTTTATATGGACTGTATCGGTGTCCAAAATGGCGTAACCTATTTGCGTCAAGATCAGACAATATATGCTCGTGAAACAGCTGCAACAAATCCGTGACCAGACAACAGAGGCAGGTGAACCAGGTATGTACGATAGAATCGTTTGGTTACGGGCATTTTTTTGCACATTTAGAGGCTCTTACTGTGTGTGATCTCGAGATCATTGTGAAGCCCTTAAAGCAATGAGTATCTGTAGAACATTTGTTCAGTAGCGTTCAAGTAGCCATAGTTGGAATTCCTCCTCAAAATGCTTTGGATAAGACTGAACCATAGCTTGAACTCTTCATGCTATAGGACTCAACATGGGCATTTGTTGGGGATGGTCACGATTCTGGTAGCCTAAGATTTTTGGGGTACCCGACTCCTAATTTGAGCCTCTCGATCGGACCCGAGTCTTACGTGTCTCTGAGTTTCAGATATCCTTGGCATACTCCAAATGTTCGGATACTTGCGGGTTATCCGATCAGTGAGGGCCAGAGGGCGAGTCGAGGAAAGAGAAAGAAGTCGGAAGAGGGTGAGGGGAGGGGGGAAAAACGTATATGAGGAGCGAGCGAGACGATGCGTTAAAAAACGAGGCAAGTGGGCGAGGGTGAAAGTTAGATGGTAGTGATGGTATTTTGGAGTAAGAGGCAAGCTTTTATTGTATTTTAATTTGACTAGCCTTCTATCGATTCTTGGTGAAAAATGTTATACAAGCATAGACTAACTCTTATATTGGCGATGCACAAAGATAAACTTTAGTGACTGAACCATTTGAAACCCAACTCTTTTGCATAATTTACTTCATCATCATTGGCTATGGATGGGTTTCTGGGTTGATGATATGTCTCCCCTCTCTCTATGTATCCCTATGTGTGTGTTAGGGTTGAAACCCATCATCTTATCTATGTCGATATTTGAGTTTCAGATACCAATTGTTGGGTGTTCTAATAAGGTTTAGGCCCTAACTCCACGTCTCAAATCCCTCTCTTTTTTCGATGTGGGACATTTATCATGTTTCAAATGCTCGGGGTACCCGTTGATGGTGATGGGGCAAACCTAACCCTAACCCTAGACGAGTTCAAGTTTACTTGGGTTTTATTTTGGATTTCCTACTTCGTCTTGCCCTTACCGCTCGCCTCGCCCTGCCCTTGCCGCGCTCACCCTTCAAGTAGCCTCCAACCCCTCGTCCTACCTCGCTCTTCGTCGTGAACCTATAACCTCAATCCTAGATTAGTCCGTGATTCTCGCTGGTTGACTGACCCCTTAACCCGAATCATAGGCTGGATCTTCGCATTTCGTTGGACCTGTATCCGTCTCTTCGGTAGATGGATATATACCTTATTATCGAGTATCGAAAATATGGGTTTCCCGGGCCGGTGTTTATGAGATTCCCAAGAGTAAGCAAGATTGTGTATACGGAGAAATATTTACTGAAAGTTTCTCGAAGATTTACCTGAAAGTGAGGGATATTGGATAACTTTTACCCCGAATTTCCCGTTTTCCCATGTTGTCCTTGGGATGAAGTAACCGTGAGTGAGTGGGGGATCCACCCAAAAAACATAAACAAAAGATTTCCTGTCGGAAAATTACAAACTCTTCAATCAGGATCAAGGGCCCACATTCATTTCTCATTTTTTTTTATATTCTGCCTCTTGTAAATTTTGGAAACTCCGTTAATGTTTTAAATTAGTCTAGTTTCATGAATAAAGACTAACGAGTCGTATATATAAACTCAACATTTTTTATATAATTTTTCGCTCAGTAAAATTACAAAAATCCACGTGTCTTTATTGTGTTACATGAACCCTGAATTCCGACCGGAAAACGAAAGACAATTCAGAAACGCTACGTAATGTATTTTCCAAAAACTAGATTCATTGAGGTCAACTATGTGTATTTATACCGTATGCGTAAATATGTAAATATACAATATTTTTAATTATATATGTGTGTGTATAGTGAACTTGGTCACATTACGTACGACGTATTATAAATTATAAAATTCAGTACAAGTTCGTTCTCGCCGCTTGCAAAGCAGATTCGAGATTTTGTTTTTGGTACCTTTGCAAATTCCAAATAATTTTTGTAATTACGATTTCCAAGAGCGTCCAAAGATTATTATTTTTTTCATCTTTCTTTGATCAAATCTCTAAGGTTGATTTTTATCCATTTATTAACGGAAATTTGTAAAAGTATAAATATTGGCAAGGCAAGGCTTCAAGCCTTCAACAATCTGTTTGTGCCTATTGATGTATTGTATTATATACTATATGGTTGGTTTATTGGGTGGTTCTTCGTCTATATTTCCATCTAAAACTATACTTTTCGTTAGAATGTCCAAACGAGTTCAACTCGCGAGGTGGTTCGTTACTGATTCGTCACGAGCCGAATTGAATCATCGTTTTTAAGGCTCGTTTGGAAACTTTATTGATGATATATACAATTTCTTTTGTATACTTGCTTCTGATATATTAAAATATAATTATATTTGTTTGTAGTATGTGACCCGACTCGTTTAACTCGAAAAATTGTTGAGTCGATGTGAGCCAAGATTTTTCTATCTCGTTTTCGAGCTCAAAACGCGTCGAGGCGAATTTGAGTCGAGGTAGCTCGTTTGGCACCCCTACTCAAACCCGAACTTTTCACAATCAACCAAAATATCGTCGATTAATCGAAAGCCCTTCGGGGTAAGAAAGAGTCGCGTATACATATAGAGAGAGAAATAAGCATGCAAATAAACACATATTAATGCGTACATATCTGTATATATGCTTATTTAATTGGTTTTAATGACAAGTGATCGGTGCCCTTATCTCTATTAAACAGTAGTTTCAGCATCAGGACCAGACGGCAGTCTTTTATATTTTATTACCGGATACTCGATCGACAAACAAACATTTAATCTTATATTTCATGCTTCATACATATATATATATATATATATATATGTTGAGAGTTACAACACATTTCACCATCAAAACCCCCGAAACAGAGAAAGAAGAAAAAAATCAAAGAATGATGAGCTCACCATCAAATTCAATCACACAACTCTTCAAAAACAAACCTGTGAAACATGACCACATTATCCCGCTAGACTTCACCAGCGTCAAAACCCTACCGGATTCTCACGTCTGGTCGGCCCCGAGCCCGCTTCCGGAACCAGAGGCTCTGTCCATCCCAGTCCTGGACATGAACCACGCGGTCAGGCCTTCGCTTCTCCGGCAGGCCTGTGAGGAATGGGGAGTGTTCCAGGTCATTAACCATGGTGTTTCCGAGAAGTTGCTTCTGAATGTCGAGTACCAAACAAGGAGGCTGTTTTCGCTGCCCATGCAGCGGAAGATCCTAGCCGTCCGATCGCCGGACGAGAGCACTGGGTACGGCCTGGCTCGTATCTCGATGTTCTACGACAAGTTTATGTGGTCGGAAGGGTTTTCCGTCATGGGATCATCATCTGTCCGACACGCCAAACTGTTGTGGCCTAATGATCACAAAATCTTTAGGTACGTCCTTCCTTTTTTTTAGTTATTTATAATAATTTTTTTTACAATTTAGATATATATATATATATCGTTGGTCGGATTATATCTGGTTTCTGAAATCCGGCTTAACATGTGTTTCCTGTCTCAATAAGAAAATACTTGTACCGCCTCTTTTACAGATGCCATCATGCCACATGGATTGATGAGAAAACCCAACAAATATATACTCCTATACATGTGGCAGCCCCTTTATATTTATTTATCTTTTATAGATGGTAGGGGCTGTGGTTCATCGTTTAAACCGAAGAAAGAACATATATATATATATAGATTATATATAACAAAACCATGCATGGATAATGCATATCTCTTGTATATTCGACGCATAAACACCTTTTATTTACGTGAAATTGGTTACAAATTCTCTCTTTTTTGTGATAGGTGCATTAGGTCTTTTGTTTTTTAACCAAGTTTAGAACTGATAGCGATATACAGTTTTTGTATATATTAGATGAACATGTTTGGAGCTTTTCGTAATCAATAACCTAAACATACCAAGTAACGTACTTTTTTCCCGCCAAACTGAAATTAATATTACTAATAAATCCGATTATGAAACACTGATTACTTAATTATAGTGAATTGACACAAAAAAAGAAGAAAAATTGTACAAATAGTTTGGCTTTAATCCTAAATTAGGAAAATAACACAGGCGTTAAATATTTCTTTTATATTTTGGAGGTAATTTATTTTATTATATATATATATATATATATGTGTGTGTGTGTGTGTGTTTATTTTTATGTAGTGATGTGATGGAAGAATACCAGAAGGCTATGGAGACCCTAGGTCGAAGACTCATCTGCATGTTGATGGACTCACTTGGACTGGCCCAAGAAGACGTAGGTTGGACCGTACCGGACAGAACCGGGTCAAGACCGGAAATTCAACCCTTTTTGCAGCTGAATTCATACCCGGTCTGTCCTGAACCGGATCTAGCCATGGGGTTGGCCCCTCACACCGACTCATCCCTCTTCACCATCCTTCACCAAGCCAACATCCCAGGTGATTGTAACATTTGATTTACATACACATACAAATTAAGCACCTTGACATATACTATGGTTGGTCCAATGATAATATCATGGATAATGTTTATAATTATAATTACAGGCCTACAGATCCAAAGATCAGAAAGAGGCGGAGCTTGGAGCACTGTGGACCCCATCCCCGGAGGTCTTGTCGTGATAATGGGCGACGTGTTCCACATGCTATCAAACGGACGGTTCAATAACGTAATGCACCGCGTGGTCGTGAACAGCACGCGCCACCGTGTCTCCGCCGCGTATTTCTACGGACCGCCGAGGAGCGTGACGGTGGGACCGTCGTCAAAATTGATCGACGAGGATCGCCCTCGGATGTATCGGGATGTGAGTTGGGGCGAGTATCTCGAGACGAAAGCGACTTACTTTGACAAGGCTTTGGCTTTGTTTCGTCTTTGTTGAAGAAAATATCTTGTGGAACCGTGGAGTATGTACTTTTAATAAATTTGAGGTTGTCGTCCAGTTTTCATGAGAATTTTGTTTTTGTTTTATACATATATATATATATATATATATA